TTATCAGAATATTCTAATTTTATGACCAGCACCTGTACTTGTATCAGTCATTATAAATACACACCTACTTTGCCAATTAATCAAGGTTTGGATTCAGGCATTTTAACTGTCAGCTACTGTATCACAACATATGTTCACAAATGATGACAAGCTTTTTTATTTTATTTTTTTTTAAAAAGGACAACCCACTTGTGTTTCAGCACATAATGTAAATTCAGAAGAACAGCATATCCAGCTCTCTCTTGTGGTCCCTTCCTTGTTTGCAAGAAAGATTATGGTAACGCTACTGATGTGCCAGGTTAATTAAAAGATGGTTTGTTGCCATGCAATATCCTAGCTGAAGCACGCGTGTCATTACTTGATTGAAGAACTGTACATATAATCAAGAATATTAAAAAGAATCCTGTGAAAACATGTTGAACTTGCATTCAAGATTCATCTTACATGCATGAAAAAATAGCAGCTAACAGACTTTAAAGAAAAATTGTCTGTAGCATAAAATAAAGATAATGAAAAGTTATATTTCCACTGCAGCAATAAGTTGAGCGCTGCAGATGTCTGGCCTTTTAGAACGTCACCTTCTAAATCTTCCTGATAAAGTTGCTGTGATTGGCATTGAGGACAAGATAATGCTCTATCATTACCTCTGACAAGATTAGCATGAATGAATTTCAAAGGCAAAATAGATGAGGTGACACTTCTGCTGCACTCTGATTATGCTTGGTTGTTACCCGCTGTAGATTTTTACAAGAAAGACTGTATTAAAAAAAGCATCTAATGCACATGTCGCGTTATAGCATCATTTCTCATACCACATTTAACCAAATTGTTAAAGTTGTTCCTACAGTCCCAGGAGCAGTTTTCACTGTCCAACAGCGTGCGCACACTGTGACATAGTCAAGTGGAAAGCACAGCTCACTGTCCACCTGAGGAGTCTGAAAACTGACTCACTGGGAAGCTTTTGTTTACTGATTTTAGCACTAATTGAGTCACCGAAGCGCTACTTCATATTAAATTGTGCTGCGACTTCTCACTTTTTTTTTTCTACCGGCAGCAACGGCACATTCATCTCTCACAATGGATCATGCTTGACTAATCTGCTGATGTGCCTCATTTCCAATCAGCTCCTTGAGGATTTTATCATTTATAATTTATGAATAAAGTGACTAGAGAAGAAATACTGTAGTTGAATTGCAGCGAATATGGAGATTTAGTTTTCTTTTTCTTGTCATTTCAGGCAGTACTGTGGAGATACAAGTTCTCCCAGCTAAAAGGATCATCTGACGACGGAAAGAGCAAGATCAAATTTTTATTCCAAAATGCAGAATCCAAGTCTATTGAAGCAAAGGTGAGTCTGGTTTTACGAGATTATACAAATTGAACCATGATACTAATGATATATATACTGTTTTTCCCCTTGTTGCCACTAAATCAGAGAAAATGTTTTTGCCCATTTTAGATTTTTTTTAAGATTACCAAAATGATTAATTTTATTCCTAAATATACAATAATATAATAGAAATTTTTCAGATAATTAATTAACGACTTTTTCTTTTTTTAATGTGGCATTTACAGACATTAAAATTACTGATAGATTAATCAGATGATTGAACATAGTGTTTTGTAGAGTGGTCATCACAAAACCCTAAATGGGACCCTGCTTAGTCCCATTAAAAATTTAGAAAAGGTGCTTGTGAGTGAGGCGGCCTACGGACTTCACTTAGTCGCTCCAGTTTTGTCAGCAAGAATGGTTCAAATCTCCACCAAACTATTGTGAGAAAATTATGGATGTCTTTGTCAAGTCCTTGTTATTATTCTGACATTGAGCTCTTGGAAAATGATTTTAATGTTCCTAACTGACCTAAAAGTAAAAAAAATAAATAAATAAAAGTGATTTAATTTCATTACACTGAGGCAAAAAAAAAGTATTTGGTGTCTTTTATACAGTGTGTGTGTAAATTTCTGGTTTTAACTGTAAATGTTTGATTTTGTGCTTTTGTTTAGGAGCTGGAGTTCTCAAACCTCTTTGCTGTTCTTCACTGTATTCACGCTTTCTTTGCTGCCAAAGTTGCTTGTCTGGACCCAGTGTTTGTGGAGAGCCAGGGCAGCGCTACGACTGCTGGGATTCCTTCTCTGTCCAGCCTCTCTTGCAACTCACAGACTCCAAAACTGAAATACACCACTTGACAGGTGCTGCTGTCTCCGGACCTCTTTTAAAAGACCAGAATCGCCTCAGACAACGAACAGCTGAACGTGGATCAAGGCTATAAGTGTGTTGCGGGTAGCTGGACGCTTTAGTAGAATAAAAGACCTCCTTGTGAGTATTACACTTGATATCTCTGAAGACTTCAGGAATTACTTTGGACCTGACTTTGAACCTCTTCTTTGAAAACCTTCTGAGAGCGACTCGATGGACATGAAATGGGTTTTTGTCTTTCTTTCAAGCCTCAGACAACCACATGATTATCACATCAAACAGAAATTGCTGGTAATTTCCCTCAGTAGCTTGTCTTTTTTCTGTGAAACTTCACTGAGAATCTTGGGCTAGATGCATAAAGATGCGCACACTCATGGCTGTGTGGGTTTGTACTCATAAAAGCATATGAATTACTTTCTCTAGACTACCAAATCCTTCATTTTAATGGAAACTAAGTACGAATTTACTAAAGATTATTAATTAACATGGGATTTTCTTAATATCACAAACTGACTTCTTTTTTTTTTTCATCTGGGGATAATAAGGTGGGATTTTCTCTTGGGATAACAGCCTTATCTTAGTTTGCAAGCTAATTTGGATGTGATTTTTTTTCCCAAGGTCACAAGTTCGTTTGTCTTAAGAAAACCAAGCCATTTTTATTTCTTTGTCCCTCAAGAACAACATGCATTTCCTTGAAATAATGGATTTACTTGCTTTTATTATAAATTTTAATGTGATTTTCTTGAGATTACATGCTGGATATTATTTTATCTTTAGCTAACTAACTAATTGATTATGGTGCAGATGGTTATTTTAGTACTCCTAGTTTCATTGTTCACTGTCACTGTCATGACACTTCAGTTTGGTACCACAGTAGTCAGATGTTCCTTAACGGGGCATTTTCACATTTAGAAATCTGTCCGCATTATGTTCTTCCTTTGCTTTTGTTTCATGATTGCAAAATTATTTAAAGTTATCTCAACAAAGTAAATCTTTTTATGTCAAAACAACTAAATGTATTGAACACAATACCACTGTTAAATTCATATGATGACATAAAAAGTCTTATTTTCAAGTATTGAGGCAAACAACACATTATCACTAGATGATCTTTTCTGAGCAGGACGTCTCTGCTTTATTGCAAAAATCTCAATAATTATGAAAATATGTACAAGAACTCCTTTTTTGTACTATGATTATATACCCTGATAGGAAGCCTTCTATTTGGGTGGGATATATATATTCAGTATAGTATAGTATTCAGATAGTTAGTTCTCATTTCTGTTCTAGTAAAAACCTTTTACAATCATGATAAATTATCTCCACATTTTTTTTCATTTTTGCTTTATCCTACTGGAATGAAATCACTCTCTAAATAAGTGGTCTGAATAATCCGGCTCAATATTCTAATAGCATAAGTAGGTGAAAGCATATGTATGATTTTTTGTGAGTGTGTGTGTGTGTGCGTGTGTGTGTGTGCGCGTGCGTGTGCGTACGGATGTGTGTGTGTGTACACATGATTTATGCATCTAGCCTCTGGAGTTAAAAATATGAAAAAGCACTTTTTTCTAAAACATGTAAACCTGTTCAAAGACAAAAAAAATAAAAAATAAATAGCCTCGACTGGATTATAGGAAGAGTTTACACTCATTTTAAGTGTTTTTGTGTTTTTAAACGGACAATTTAATTCAAGACTCATTTAAAGTCAGATTTATTTACCTCAGATTAGAGTCCACCTATAACTAAAAAGCAACATTGCTGGTGAGAGAAATGTATGTTTTAGGTTGTTTCTTGTGTTGTCCTTGCCTGACACTCAGCATTGTGAAGTACAAACACATCTACCGATCTGCGTATCGGTGTATAAACGTGTGAGCGTTTGTGAGTGCAAGTGGGTGAATGTGACTCTAGTTTGAGTGGTCAAAATGATTGGAAAAGCACTATATAAGTTTAGTCCATTTACCATTTTACCATTTACATCTGTTTTTGGGTCACAGGTTGGCTGAAAGTCTATTGCTGCTTATTTTGTTGGTGGATAAAGAAGATGACTATGAACATCAGGTTCATCATTAAACAGCCTCAATTGGACAAACAAAAGAAAAAAAAAACAATTTTTGTTTATAATATCTCTTCTCAAAACAATTATGTAAATAAACACTGACATTTGAATAAACTCAGATAACCATAAAGCATAACTTGAAGGACTGTCACTACTACTTGGCATTGAGGTATTCGATATTTGACGCGTGCCAGAGGTTAAAAGCTCATACACTGATGCTCTCTTTGTCATTTACTCTTTGAACCAGTTACAAGTATAAAATCAGCCATGGTGTATTTTTTATCGCTGCTTGAGATTACCCTGTAAATATTACATTAATGAGAAATGGTCAGGAGGAAAACAGAAATATCCAATATCCTAGCTTAAAATGCTTTCAGTTACTCCCTTTAACCTGTCTCTGTTTCAAACTGTTTGTAAATGCTGCAGAGTGGCAGCTAAACTATCATAATCACAAAGAGTTCAGGTCAATTAAAGTAATTATTCTCACTCTTACCTCCTATTTACAGAGGAGGAGACCCCTGGGTAAGAGAAACTCTGGAGGATAGCAAATTAAAAGGGGTCAAAGCATTTTCGTGCTGTGCAGCCTTGTTAAGGCGTCTGATGGAAAGCGGCGGTGGTGCAGTCTATGCAAAGAAAGTCTGTGTGATGATTTTGTGCTTTAAAAACAATCTTGATAAGAAATAACCGTGCCACACAGGAACCTAGAGGGTAAGGTTGACTTTATTTTATTATTATTTTTTTTTTGCAGATGTTTTAATAACAGATATGCAGTGAAATAAATCAATAAATGAGAACTTTTGTATCACGGCTCAGTCATGAGTGAATTTACTTTGCTCAAATACAATCCCATGGCAAAATACTTATATTGTTTGAACTTTTTCCAAACTTTTGGTGAACTTTTTCCACACTTTTTCACATAACCACAAATTTTAATGTGCTTTGTTGGAATTTAAGTGCGTAAGTGTGAAGTGAAAATATCCCTTTACGCTATGATGCCATGAATATAGTGCATTCAGTTATCTTCAGGAGTAGAAAGGATGAACTTTTTTGGACTGCATGTCAAATGCTACCTATGGTGAAAACCGACACTACACATCAGCCTGAGCAAACCATTCCTACAATGTAACATGGTAGTGGCTGCATCATGCTGTGGTGGTGATTCTTTTCTTCAGCAGGGTGAGGAAAGCTGGTCATGAAGGAGACATGAAGGTCATGAAGACTGAAGGAGCTAAATACAGGATAATATGTGAAGGAAACCTGAGAGACGCTGCAGAAGACTTGATGTTCACCTTCCTGCAAGACATCAAGCCTAAACAAAACACCCAGAGCTACAGTGGGTCAAAGTCAAAGTCCAGACTTAAATTCATCTAAGAATCTATGTCAAAACCAGTTGGCATTGGCAGATGCTGAACATAAAGTCTGATTGAACTCAAACTATTTTGCATAAAACAGTGGAGATGAAAATTGCAGCTAAAATTGATACACAAAATATTTACATGAAGATATCAAAAACAAATATATGGTAAAACTTTCCAAATTATATTGTAAAACATATATTAACCACCATTACCTTCTTCTAGTTATGCATTACTTTCTGTTGGTCTGTCACAAAAAATATCAGCAAAAAAAACAAACAAACAAAAAAAAACGTAAATGCATTGAAGTGTGTGGTTGTAATGTGGCAAAGTGAAAAAAAAAGTTTAAGCAGTACATACTTTTGCCAAGTACTGTAAAACCACTTTTCAGCTTCTATTAAGATATTGTGTCAAATTAAATATGCACACTTCCATTATGGCATCCTTTAAAAAAAAAAAAAAAACATTCATCCTTTAAAACAAACTCCCACGGTCTCTCCGAGCTTTTTCTGAGAAACATTCTCGAGGACCTTGTCAGGGTTTCTCCGAGCCTGACCTCAACACATAAAAATTTTAAAAGCATCTAATGAAAGATGCTGTTTGTCACTGACATCCAGGAAATCTCTGCTTCCATTTTCTTCATCTGCTTTTTGTCAGTCACCCCAGCGCACTTCTCCCATACACTTAATATTCAGCAAATCCCCAGTCTGAGGCAGCAGCTTTTTACGTTTGAGCACATAAAAAGCACTATTTTGACAACTCTTTGTCTGATCTGCTTCACTTTTTTGGCAGGTGCATTTCTCAACACTTTAAAGGATCAGTGTCGAGTTTGAGGCTCTTTGGATGAGCGGTCCTCTTATTTGCAAGCCTTTCACAAAAGTATCCCCACCAGGCAATATACGCAAGCACTGGGAAACGCTTTTGTATGTACTCTGCGAGCAATCAGGATCCAGAAACAAAATTCAACGGGATCTTCTTTTGATTCTAATGCGCCTCGCTAACAAGTCTAAAGAAATTCAGCTCCCATGGAACATAACATTAAGAGCGCATTACAATGACTGGAAGACAAGCAAAGTGATTGTGACCTTTATTTTTGTGCCACACAGTTACAATGAAACAACACATTTTCAAAATGAACTGCACACACTGAGAACAATCAACCCATCGCCCCAACAAAGAGAAGCTGGACTGATTTGGCTTAAAAAAGAAAAAAAAAAAAAAGAAAAAAAAGAATCCAAAATAGAGAGTGCAGGGCAAGTCACGAGCTTGTTTATTTTACTGGGAGCAGTTTTAATAGTCGAATCTCGTCCACGTTAAATGTAATCACAGCCATCCCATTAACTTTGGTGCAAGGGGCGACCTCAGAGTCTCAGCTGTACGTCTGCCGGATTCAATGTCGCTCACTAATTAGCAATTACATTTCAGGTTATGGTATATAAACAGTTGTGCGGCTCAGATGCGTCATGTGAATTTTAATGGAGGCTGTGCAAATCAAATGGGACTGTTTGGTTGTTATTGGTAATTACAAGATAAGAATCTGCGCTGCTAAACTAAAAACTATCCGTCAAGAACATTTAAAAACTATGCAAATTAAAATAAACTTACTGAAAATAGAAATCATCTCCCCACGCACAAAAAAAAAATCTACGAGAGAAGTAATCAAGCTCATTTTCAAAACAAAACTATTTTTCAGTACATCAGACTAAAATTGAGAGCTAATATTTTCTACGTAGCAGACAGCAGTGGAGTTCCCAGTGTGAAGATACAGTACAGCAAAAGGGGGTGTGCTACAACAAGTCAACTGCAAATTAAACTAGATGGAAAAAAAAATCATATGAGAACAATATATACTGCTTATATCACTTTTATATTGAAGAAAATTCATATCAACAACATTCAACTTAGTTTTTTTTTTTTTTTTTTTTTTTTTTCAAACCGAAAGGTTCATTCAAAGAAAGATGAAGAGACTGTCCAACTGTGTGACAGTGAAGTATAAGGAAAACCTATAAATGTCAGGCCAGCGCCGTTCTGGTTTTCAGTGTGGAATTTTTTTTTTTTTTTTTTTTGCACAAAAACACCTTTGTTTAGATAATTTACTGTGCCAGGAAGCTCACAGAAATCCTAACATGATGCAGGGGTACATTGGCACTTAAAAGCCACCGCTATCAGGGAAGTACTTGGGGTGCCTTGTAATTAAAGGTGAATTTACATTACAATGAGTCCAGTCCCCAATTATAGCCAAGAGTGGTACCTTTTTTTATATATATATTTTCTTTACTTGAGGACTGCAGATTAAGGTGCTTTGTTGGACACAACTGTAGTCCAGGATACAAAAGGCATCAAAATCTTGGACAATTGTGATTTTGCATTGTTTTTGATTAAAAACATAAAAATGAAGAAGAAAAAAAAAAAACACATCAGCACTGTACAGAATTCAACTTGTCTCAAGGCCATGGAACCAAATAATCATTTTAAAGGGCAAATATCATAGAGCAAACAAAAAAGGAAAAAGAAAGCTATCAACAGCATGAAACAAAAATGAATCCTCATCAACTTTTACATTGTTTTTCAAAACTAACTCATTTTTGTAAAGCATTTTTTTTTCTCTGCAAAACTGGAAGTGAGTACATTATAAGGATGACGGCGCATCACCTGCATCTGCAGTGCCTGATCAAGTATAGCAGTACAGTAAACATGAAATGCTTCCTGTATAAAAGTACCAGCATTTTCATGAGGATAGATTGAATATATGACCACCGATTGGTAGCACAACAAAAAGATGGACTGAGCACTTTTGCTACAAAGTTCATCTATGGGTAATAATGCAGCTTGAGCAGGCAGTGAACAGCCAAACTACTAAGAAGTAGCTGAGAGCGAAGTTTTCAAGTGAAAACTGTTTTCTTTTAAAACACTGTTTACTTTTTTAAGTGTACAAAACGAAAATGTTCTTCAGGATGTTCTTCCAGTTTCTGAGCCAAACCGCAGCCGCAATGTGATCGCACTTTGCTATTTTAACTCCCTCTCCTTTCACTACATGGGTAGCATTAGCTTGACGTGACTTTTTAGGGTTAAACGGCATGTGAAAATTAAATGCTGGTGAATTTCTGGAGTTTACATGACGGACATCCTCAGTATAACGTTTCAACAGCTACGTCACCATAGAGAGCTAAAACCATCACAAGTAAAACCCCGACTACTTGTTTGAAGAAAAGGCAGACTTGCACATTCACTGCATGGCTCACCAATATAAAATAAGCTAGTTTGCTGGAAGGAAGAGCGTATAAGAGTAACAATGCTGGTCAGAAGTCGTGTACAATTAATTATTTTTTTTTATTTTAAACTACCTGCTGCCAACTTGTTTAATTATAGAATTATGTTATTTTGTTAAAAGTAGGTTCAGTGTTACAAACACTAGATCAATCAAACTTGTGGGCTGCATTCTGTGCTGCATGATGCTTGCTGTTTTTTGTGTACGTTTTGCTTTTTAACGTTTTTTTTTTTCCACATTTAGTCATAGAATTTAATATAATTATTCAGAGCTACAATCCTTAACCTATTAAAAAGGGAAAAAATAAATTATGATAAATGCCCTTTAAATTCCTATGATTTTTTAAAAAAAGACATATTCCTAAACTTAATCACTTGTGACATCACCTCCAGCGATCAGTCAGAACATGTGAAACGGTGCCTAGAAACACCTGAGATATATATATATAATATGATCAATATTAATTAAACATCTTCCTTTCTGAAACCGTGAACTATCCATAAACATCTGTAGCTTATTTCCTTACAAATGCTAAACCTCTGATATATTATTTAAATGCATCCTTGAGAAAAGACAACAGAGTAGAGAGCTTACATTGCATCAAATAACATGTCAGTTTATCGCAGTGAGAACCCACAAGAATGTAAGCATGCTTTAGAAAACTTAACATTAAAATGTGCCCTGTAGAAAATATATATATATATATGAACCAATTTCATATTTTCCAGTGATCTATTTTTTTTTTTTTGTTAGCAGGAAGGTATAAAATGCATCAAGACAAGTATTTCTCCCCCCATTCATGTCTATGCAAGAAGTTCTTAATCTTTAGTTGAAAAATGGGATCAGATGTGGCCTTACTTGCACGTTTCTGTGTAATTAAATCCCCGTATAGTGACAGCAGGTTAAAGCTTCTACAAAAGGTGCAGTAAAGTTTTCATTTTTGTATGATCATATTTTAACAAAACCATAACAGATTTTTTTTTTTTTTTTGTCATTTATACAGTTTTTATCTGCATAATATCTGCAGACATCCTGATTTGATAAAATCTGTATCTCAAAACGGTTTCCTGAAACTAAATGTCCATTTAGGAGACTTTTTACATATGTTTTTATACAGATCAAAAACAAAAATGTCAAGAGAAACGAACACCCATGGAAATCAAAACATTATGATCTGACATTAAGTCATCTTGTTCCAATACAGTGTTGCCTTTGAGATTAGGTGATAATAATGCTACATCGAACTGAAAAAAAGGGCGAAGAAAACGGGATTTCAGCAGGCAGAGCACTCATTAAGGACGGACATCGAGTGGATCAGTCATTTCTCTCTGTAATACAGCAAGTACGCTTTCAGCGACTCCGGCAGAGGCAGAGCCAGTATTTGTTCTCTCAGCTCATTCACTTGCTTGATGATTTCAATGTCACCAATGTCTCTTTCCTCCTCCTCCTCTGCCGCCGCCTCCTTCTGTTCCTCCTCAGCGTGTTCCTCCTCTTCGCTCTCCACCATTTGAGGTATGAGCTGATTGCCCACAAAAACGTAGGTGTTGATGCGCCGCCGACGACAGCGCCTCCTTTTGCGCTTGTGGGGAACCCTCTGAACTGTGCCCTTCCCCTGACTGTCCTGATTCGCCAGGTTGCGGAGAGTGCGGCGAATGTAAATGCGAGATAGGTCCTGTAGGCTGCGGACGGTCACTGGGGCTGAGGAGAGAGAGGGATGACACGGTGCTTCAGGACAATGTGTAACAAAAAAAAAAAAAAAAAAATACAAAGAATTTTTTACACTACAACTACTGCTACTACTACCACCACATTTTCTCAACTAGGTCAGCATAAACAAGTAAGAATGTGACAGGAAAGTGAGCTCCAGTGTTTCAAGAGAAGAGTAAAGTGGCTTCATGATGCAGCTGCAAGCACATCTCATAAAACAAAACAAGTATGGTATCACGCTGCTCTAGGACTCATCACTTCCAATCTATTTCAATGCACTGTGCCTAAAAAAAATATTAAAAAATACAGCCAGTTTTCCACTTCAAGGCAAGTTTTTTTTTTTTTTTTATTGTTGTCAAGGCAGTGAAACTCACGCAGCTGGACAGTGTCAGGCTTCTCTCCTTCTGCTCGGCTCTGCTGGACCAAGGGGGCAAAGGACACCGCCAAGATGTTCCTGCTATCCCACGTGCTCTGACCGGTTCTGGTTATCTGGGTCAGCTGCATATACACACAAAAAATTTAATTATTGTTGGGGGGGGGACATGTACATTATGCCTAAATCATGATCTAGAATCAGACAGGATAAATCACTCCTACACCATACAAACACACAACATGATATATTTAGGAAAGCTTCCACCAGATAGAGTATGCAAATAGTGCCTAGTCAGACTGAATGCAGAAATATGCAAAAGTTGCAAAAGTATTGTTATTAAGATGATGCACACGGTCAAGTGGCCGTAGATTTGTTGTAATTTTACCCTCTAACATGTTACTAATCTGAGTCTTAAATGTTACATTATATCTGGAAAATGTTTGGAATTTATTCATCCTGAACATTTTTAATTGCTGTTGAAAGCCACTCCATGTGTGTGAGTTGCATTCTGCATGTCATCAGGAATATAACCTTGAATATTTGCTGCTACTTCAGACAACTGAAACCTGACCTTTGTGTCTGAGTTTCTTGTGAACTATTTCTGATTTGGACTATCATTAAGCTGGATAACCTAATGGCAACCTGTTTTTTTTTTTTGTTTTTGTTTTTATTTACCAGGCCACCAGCATTTTATTAAAAATATCCTGCTATTTCAAAGAATTTATACACTCTAGGTAAAAACCAACTCACAGTAATATAAAACCTCCACCATTCTTAACAATGGTGGATGCTTTTCCACAGTGTGTGGCAAAAATGTCATAGTCTCATCTAGGAATATAACACTGTGTGTGGAACTTCACACAGATGCCGAAGTTGCTGAGGTGCTGAAGTTCCAATAGTGTTTGTAAAATTTTACCCATTTCTGTTTATGATGGTAGGACAGAAAATGCTTTTTCTGTCACCCAAATAACAGGCTGGCATGTAGATGGAGCCCAATGGTTCTTCTGCAGACTTAGCAGCTTTCTGTAGCAGTCCTCTGCAGTGAGCTGTGCAGAGGTTTAACATCCCACACCGACCTCCACACTGTGTGTTGTGCCGAGATAAAATTGGATCAAAGTCCAGCCTTAGTTGCCACAATTACAGCGGTTTAAAACTTTGATTACTGTTCTTATACTACATATTAATTTAGACAATGTTATTTTAGTTACTATTTTCCAACCTCTTAGAATGCTTTATCAACCTCTGGGGGGAAATTTGATGTTACAGTCACCTGTTCAAAATATACTCAAGACAAAAGAGGAAATACAAAGTTGTGTCAGTGTAAAATAAGCATAAACAAAAGAATAAAAGAAGATTCAATAATAAAACTACAAAGAATTATGAACATTACTATTATCACAGTCGCATGTTTGCCACATGTATTCTAGTCTTATACATTTTTGATGCGTGTCCAAGATATATTAGTCTTTGGGCATTATTTTTATACAGCAGACAAACGGGAGTATAGATTAAAATGAAACATCAAAAATGTTTTAGCAACACTACTTTTTGTAGGAATCTTTGGAGGAATACGTAATTGTGGCACTGGTGATTTTGAAACAATGCCATGGGATTTTACATAAATATTTAACAAAGCAATATCATGTTAATGCAGTAAAATATTAATGCATAGAACTACGTGTGTAGGGTGCTGTACTTTTACTGTATGCATTTACATTTTTCCTCCTAGTGGTATGTTACAGCTGTTAAAGCACAAATGAATTCTGCAAAGTGAACAAATCTAAAATATGCTCATGAGCTTCCCGACACATCTGCTTTATCTTTATTAATATACACACAACATAAATGAAAGGTTTGAAATGTTTTCGTTCTTCCAGGTGCTAGAAATGAAAACAAAATTATAAAGCAGAATCAATTAGTATTAATAAGAAAACTGTTGCATCGCTCTGTGCTCTGCAGTGGTTCTGGCTTATCATTAGCTGGCCAATCACATCACTAACGTTGTCATTTGATGTCAGATTGATATGTCAGGAATAGCTCTCGGGATGAGACAGATATACGACAGCTCAGACCTTTAATATCAAATGACCTTCTGCAGGGTGACAGTTCTTCAGAAACTATTAACCTAGATTGAGAAATGGAGTTATTTTTGACAATAACAAGTTAAGTGTTTACTTCATAGCTGCAGCTGTAGCGAATAGGACTTACTGGCCTACGGAGGTGCTGTGCACGACACCACATTCCTTCCTTTGTACAAATTCAATCTTGTTGTTGACATTCACGAGCTCTACCTCCTTAGCTCCAGCTACCAGCTGTGCCACTAATGGAACAACACATATTTTATTAGCTAATAGAGCTGACACCTTGAGGCCAGATGTCAAAGTCCATCTGTTCATTGCTAAAGGACACTTAAAAGATATGAGGGTTTCATAAAACAAAGTGTGAGCGTATGAAGCAAGGCCTTCATTTAATAATTCACATTTTTCTTCTGTGTAAACACATAATACTGTAGATCTCTTTTACAATGACTGAATGACAGATGCTTTAAGGGGGATTCAGAAGTGTTTCATATATGTACTTAGCCGGAAAAAAAATCTGCTCATAATGAAATTCACAGAAGTGATTCCTCATCCTGACAAAAAAACTAAATGAGAAGAGGGAACTACAGATGTTGGTTATTCCAGCAGCAATCTACCAGCCTGTGATGACTTTCCTACAGTGTTTTAGTTTTCTTCTGCACACTTCTTCCCTTCCCTGTCCTTTGAAGGTTTCATATTTGTCGATTCTGAATATCAATTTAAAAAGAAAGAGCCCCAGACAAGAGGGAGGGCAGAAAATACATCAGCTTGGTGCTGATAAAAGATTGAACAAAGAACAATCTGTTCTTAAAAAGATTTGCATTACCACAGACACAGACTCTTCATTTTTCAGCTGTTCAGATCCTACAAAGATCTGCAGTTTGTTATAAATGTTGTTTCCTCAGTGATCAGTGGGTGTTGGTTATTTAGCAATACAAAGCAAATACAGATTGCAGTTTTCCAAGTTTATTCCTGATTTTAATTTCTAAGAGATGTTAACAGTGCAAAATGTTATTTTAAAATGTTAATATAATTTCTAATTTAACTTGGCATTTTAAAAATATGTTTTTGTCTTGTACTTTTTTATCATATTAAGGACAAATGTGTATAGCACAACACCACATAAAGCAACAACATATATAAAACATTGATTTTCTGTAGTGTGTTGGATTGTTGAATCATAAATCCATTTCATTGTGTTGATACTCCTGGCAAATTATGGATTGATAAACTAATTAATCATTATTCATAATTGTCCTGAGTGTACACTGAGTGTAAATCGTGCATCTCTCAAAGAAAGCTCAATCGGAACACATTTTCTGAAACTTTGGCCTGGATTACTGAGCACAGCCCACGGAAAATATAACCTCCTTCTCTGAACCTCATGCATCTTTTCTGGTCCCCCAAACTTTACATTGAACAATGGGCCAACTTTAAATTGACTTCACTTAACAAAATACCAAAAGTTGTTTCTTAACATTTAATCCAGATTAAGTTTCTTCATCTCCGAGACTTTTCAAACATAGCTGGTTCATCGTATATCTGAAAAGGCTAATTTTGATGTGAACACACATAAAGCCTCATTTCCCTGGCCATTTCAATCACATCTTTCCTAACAATCTACAGATTTTCTCTAAATACGGGAGGTTTCTGCACCTCAAAGATCAATTTCAACCTTGTTGTGGAGGAAGAAAACAATGAGTATTTCAAAAGTTTATCAGCACCAAACAGAACTTTTAACGTGTCATCAGAGGGAACCATGCAGACACATTCATGAAGTTTGCATTTTTTTATATGACGAGCATAAAGTGCAAACTAATCTTTGTGCAGTAGCCTTAACTTAATGTTTGGTTGATTGTTTGTTTTGCTTTTTTGGTGTGGAAAGTGTGGACTGCTCTTCTGGCTGGTTAGTGAGATTCTTTTGCTTGCAGCAGTAGGGCCGCCAGCATGCCACGGAAAAAAAAAGGGAATGGTGCCAACAGCTGCATTCTCATCTAGATGTATCCTAGAAGACCTCTTCAAGCCACTATATAGACCATCTAGCTGATATTTTATTTATTTATTTTTTTGCATTTTAATACCTTAACTATGGTGCAATAAATTGTTTAAAATGAAAGTATTTTTTAAATGACCAAGCTGAGAAACTGGTTCAGTCTTCTTGGATGCATATTGCACAACCCAGAGAGCCAGACTAAACAAAACTACAACCTCGGGTAATAAAATCTACCAGAGTCAAAATTAAGTTTTGCTTTACTTGAGTCCCTTTGTGGTCCCAAAGGTTCCTTGCCACACAAACACCAAAACATCCCATGTACTTTCTTATGCCCCAACGGTGTGTCAACACCAGCACAACGTCTATTTTAAATAAACTGTTATTTTTGCAGCACCGTGTGCTCCGAGCACAGCTGTTGAAATCCAGGGGTAGTCGTGGCTCAATAATGCATGAGAATGTTGCGTAATGAGTCTTGCAGGTCATTTTACCTTGTTTTCCCTTATGTTTTGAATTTTAAATAGCAACTGGTGTGTGTGTGTGTCAACTCTGTATCAGTGCCATTGCTTGCAGCACTTACCTGATCCTCTATAGGCATCACCAGTATGCCTCCAATTTTGAGCAGAACTTTCATGTAATTTTCATGGTCCTTCTGCACTCCAGCGCCACAATAAATGCGATCGTATTGATGGCTGTCCGTTGAGATTTCAAGGCAATTCCCCACCACGAAGGCAGGTTCACAGAATTCAAACCTGCGAAAAATAATCAACATATCAAATACAGTCAGGGAAAACATGTTTGTCATTCAGTCAGTGTCACTGCCGCATTTGTAAACAGCGACAGAAATAAGCACGGCTGCATAAGTGTTTTCACACGTCCACCGCAGCCCTGAAGTTTTCTAAACAATTCATGAGTGAGAATGCAAATGTCTGAATCAGCAGTAATAGACTTGTAATAGACAAAGGCCCTTGAAATTCAGACAGAGCCCATTTGTAAATAGAGCTGGCATCATCTAGGGACTTTGCAGTGCGTGTTCATTATCTTTTGTGCAACAGGCACTGAAGAGGCAAAAACAAAACTGAGGGAAGAAACGGTGAGATTTGATATGTCGATAAAAATGTCTAATAAAAAGAAACTCAGGGACATTGTAAGCCATCACACAAAGGACAGTATAAGGGAAATTGACATTTATGACCGAATAAAGAACCACAAACTTTACAGAAATATAAATCTTCCAGATATTCATACATTTAGAACACTTCATTAGCACATATGACTTAGCACAAGACATTATCAGTGAAAACACATCTGGCACAAACAACGTTCTCTTATGTGCTTGGAATTCATTAACAAAATAAATAAATAAGTAATAAAATTTTAAAAATTCACACAATTCACCCAACTTTTCCCTCACTTACTGCTTCTATTTTTTCTTCCATGATCACAATAGTCCCATTTCTCCCTGTGAGTCTTTGGTCACTAAAATCTACATCAGCCGATAAACATCCATCCAACTGGCCAGGTATTATACTGACATGCAGAGTGTAAATGTGTGATACTTGAAACATCATAGCCCTACACGAAATTGCAACCAGGCACTCCTTTACGACTGTGGCATTATACATGTCGAAACCGCGATGACAACTGTGACTCAATACATTGTGAAGCTCTAGTTTCAGATAAGTTCTCCAACCAGAGTTGGAAACATCTGCAGTTGTTTCAGAGTTACCACATTCCTCTGGGCTGCTTGCCTGATTAATGCTTTTTTTTTTTTTTTTTTTGCATGAGCTTCCGCTTTAGGCAGACATCTATGCCTTGTCTGGAAAATTTCTGATTGCTACATGACAAAGAGTAAGACAGCAGTTCACAGGGTATGAATATTGCATGTCCATGTAATGCTTATAAACCAGTGGGCTCGTTTAAAAAAATAAATACATAAAAACGAGGAATATACGCTCAAAGTCGTTTTACTGCAGATATACCTGGCTAAAACAATCACATGTGGCCCATTTAAAGACAAGTTTGTTATTGCGCAATTGTTTTACGAAATGGTGTCACGTGCAGCTCCTTTTAAAATGACAGACAGCAAGGTCACAAGTGTGCTGAATAACTGTGGATCTATTTGTTTGTGGAAAACCGTTAAAAGATCAATTTCTGTGTTAAAATTCCACATGTACAAGGAGCAAATAAATATACACTAAAAATGATTCCTAAAGTGTGCGACTAAACCCAGAAGTAGATTCACTGATTAAAACTGACGCATTAGTTTACAGCAGCTGGTAGATCTTTGCCACACAGAAAAAAAACCTAACATGTTATTAATCATTTTTTAAAAATAAAATTAACAACTCACTTTATAACAGTATGCATTCATATGGTGGAAAGGTACTCTATTGTTCCCAAATGTACCCTGCTGTTTTGTTGTGCAAATTTGGCAGAGGTTAAACTATTTCACAAAATCATTGTTTGCACTTGAATAACGGCAAATAACTAAGCCTCACAATAAGAAATTTCACCGAACAGCCGCAGTTAGACACTTGTATCAAACACACCTTCCAAATGAGAAACAGTTTGAGCAGTTAAGTGGTTTTCATTTTGACTTCAGCTGGCAAAATTGGCTATCAAAACAGCAGCAACCTTCTGATTGTAAAGCACACCAGCAGCCCTCCAGCTGAGAAACAACCTCTCCATCTTCTGAGCTACAGCCTTTTATTAACGTTCATTTGTGTTTAATTTGTCCACATTGACAGTGATCTGTTTTAAGAGTATTTACGTGGGTGGTTTTGTTCTGGGCAGCTTCTTGGATGAAACTGTTTGCTAGGCAACCGTCAGAGATTCAGGAGAGATTACAGTAAGGCACAAAAAACAAAAACAAAAAAACTGACTCTTTCACAGTTTGCATCTGACAACAAAGACACTTAACAAAATAGAAATACTCTGACGGCATTTACTCACTTATCAAAACTGTCACTATTCTTAATGAATTCATCAAGTTTCTGTCTGGCGTACTCGACAACGTCCTTGTGGAGCTCAACTCCATGGTTCACACCATAGGGGCCTGAAGCAGAAACAAAAGGGGGGGAAATAAACACAGGAACAATGCTTTAATCTCAAACACACTCGGACATTTGGTTTTCAAATACTATGGGCTTTTCATTTCAACAAGGTCCCTTATTGAGAAGAAAAACAAAGCAGTTCATAATTTATGGTCTTCAATCTTGAAATGTTTGAGCCGCTCCGTTTTTGGACAATAAGGTAAGATTTCAAACAGCCGAATTAGCTAGATTATACACAGGGGAATCGTAACAAAGTGTAATATCATAAAAGATTATTTTATTTCAGTAAATTAATCAGTAATTTCAGTTTTTCAGAAAATGATAAAATGACACACCACCAACAAAGAAAGTTGGTTTAATGCAGAAATGCCACACTCTGAAATGCATGTTCTTGTGCTGTACAGTATATACTGTACAGTTTAGAACGCCATATGCATAAATTAGAGCATAAATACAGCTAATGCAGTTCAGGATGCTTTAATAGAGGCCTTCCGCTCTTCCTTGCTGCTGGGTCTGGTGTCTCTCCTCTTCCTTTTCACAACACTCTATAGAGTGTTTACATCTGAAGAGTTTGCACCGCAGGTCCATCAAGCACAGTGATGCTACGGTCAATAAACCAGGCATAACTGTTGGAAGTATGGACATATGCCAAGTATCACCGGAGAATGAAATTATCTTTGCTGGACCAACACCAGCAGATCTCAAGGTTCCAGAAATAATCTCTGACTGTGAAAACTTCACAACGGTCCTCCAGCAACTTTAAACTTAAATTCAACCGACCTGTCTTCAGTGCCCTGTCGAGTCAGCAGTTTTAAACATTACTGTTAAAAAAAAAAAAAAAAAAAACATTTTTATTGTTTCAAAAAAATATTGGATTTTGAGAGAAACTGTCTTCATTAACCTGAACCAATTGTCATTACTGCAGAAATAAACACTATGTGTAACTAATCTATATGATATTGAAGCTCTCCATTTTGAAATTAACTACTGAAATAAACAAACTCTTTCATGATCTTCTGATCCGCTAAGCCGAACCTGTAAAAGGTCCAAGAATCCCACATGTTAAGCAATCCCTTGAAATAAAACTGCATAAAGAAATACCTATGATGAGCCCAACCATTGTGCTCAGGTAACCGGTTCCGCTGCCCAGATTAAGGAAGGAAAGGCCTGGCTGCAGTTTGAGGGCCTCCATTACTTCAGAGTATATACACGGGGCAGACAGGTGAATGTTTCCGTGCTTCCACGCCAAGTCTTTGTAGGCACTGTCCCGATAGCCGTCCAGATAGTAGTCGCCTCGGTCTATGGCTCGGAAGGCCTGCTCGACCTTCTCTGTGCGGATGTACTGCGCCTCCTTTAGGTTATCGATGAGGTCATCGTTGTCCTCCCCGGCGCTCACAGCTCCCCCCATGGCGAAAAGTGAAGAGACACGGAAGGGCTGAACTTGTACACAGGTTGAGTGAGTCCTCCTCACAGCGGCATGGATATCTACGCTGGCTGAGGGGGTCCTGCCAACGCGAGTCGTCGAGAGTCACTTCAGATGCGGCTCATGTCCGAGCAGCAAGAGAGCTAAGAAAAAAAAAAAAAAAAACATTGTAACTGTGTTATTTCAAAATCTCTGCAGAAAAAAAAAAACATCATGTCTTCTTAGGTTAACTAGTAAGATGCAGATTGGAAAGGCTTATTGGGGATGTATTAATGCACAGCCAAGACTGTCTGATGATGAAAAATTAACAATTGAAAAAAGCTGACTGATGAATTTTCCATGCCCCCCCCCCCTAAGATCTTCACATGTCACAGCAGGAAGAGCACAACTGCAATTAATAACTTTGATGAGGTTTTCACTCAATTTGGCTTCAAGAGCCACTCCATAATACATGGTGACCTGCTGATGTGACTTACAGGAATGAAACAAAGCCATCATCAATGCAATTTATAACCTCTGCACATCCAGCAGTCACAAGGCAAAAATATCTGCTGTTACAAAAATAATATTAACAAATTTATACGCCACTGAGTATCTAAAGAACTATATTCTCTGTGTTGTTCAGATCAGAAGTTTGTAAGTATTCCCCCTTGCCATGATTTGACAATTAATTAAGCGTTTTATGATTTAGATTAATTTTATTTGCATGTTTTTTTTTTGTTTTTTTTACGAGATCTCAAATTGTTATTTCTTCAGAAATGTAAAACCATAGAGACATAGAAGGAGCTGAATTGTTCTTATTTTCTCCAGTTTATTCATTTACTCAATTTATAATTAAGTTTCTTTAAAAAAAAAAAAAAAAAAAAAAAGCAATTTCACACTGCAGCTTGGACCCAGGAACTGAAAGCCATTTTTATTAATATTAAGGAATACTGCCTAAAGTGGAAAGTGTGCGGGATATTTCTCATTTTCAGTCAAGCTGTGCTTTTATTTGATGCAACCTGCCAGATATTCAGGTGTGGAAAAACACTGGTTCTGGTTTTGCTCAAGGCAGATAATGTCTGCAGAATGACTCAGAGCTGACATGGTTGGCTTCAGACTGGTAACACTTTGTGAACATTTGTTCATTTTTTTTCATACTCAGATTTGCTACTTTTAATGTCTTGTATAATCTCTGGAGCTTTTAGCCCTGTAATGAGCCCTATGAAAGTTCACAAATTCATAAATAAGAAGAGAAAAGATATGTTGAAAACTTAAATATCTCAAGACAAGTAAGCAAAACAATTCTTAAAGATATGGGCTTTTTTTTTTTTTTTTTTTTTTTTAAAAAAGATAATTTTTAGCTCGGAATGCAGCCCCGAGAGAAAAGATTTT